AACTCAAACGACAGAAGTGACACACACCTCGTGTCACCCAAGGAGCCATGGGGAGGTGGGTGATGAGAGAGGCTGACCTCTCCATGCCCCAGCTCACAGAGCCTTCTTATTTGAATAATGAAGGTACTTTACAAGGACTCGTGGTAAATTTGTGTTGTGTTAACTACACATAGTTTTTTTTTTTTAAGATTTATTTATTTTTATTACTTCCTCTAACTATGTAAACATGCTAAAGAAAGATTTAAAAATCGTTTTAGAAAGAAGCTACAGTTAGGTATCACCTCCCTTGCATCAACCCTATGGGCTGTGCCTTACTTCACCGATACTTGGTGTTCACCAAGCCTGGCTTGGCACAAGCACCTGCCTGGTCCCGGCCAGCTGGCGCCAGGGAAGCATGACCAGTTGACTGGGTGATGGGGCATGATGTCATGCCACTGAGCTCATCAGATGCCACCTAGAGCTACTTGCCTGGTTTCTGCTGGCACAGTAAGAATGATGTGACCGCAGCTAATCTCTGCCACATGAAACCAGATCAACCCATACCAAGGGGCATGTCAAAGATGTGATGAATCTACAACTTTCAGCAACCCTTAGTTAAAGGTCAGAAATCTCTGGAGGGAACAAGATGGGACAGCTAGGGAGCCAGCTCGGGGCCAGGAGGCAGAAGCCACACCTCCCCACTCTGTAATTCCGCCCTCCAGGAAGATGCACTCCCGCCAGGCCAGGTCCTGCGGCCACTGACCACTCCATTTCTCGGGCAGAGAAGTGCGTGAGAGCCCTGGCAATGCAGGGGGGCTCTAGCCGCTAACACAAGGTGGAAGGTAGAAGCATCTCTCTCTCACCCACCTTTCCCTCCCCATCCCAGAACTTGGCCTACAAATGCCCTTAAGACAGAAATGAATTGCATTTTTTTTTTTGTCTTTTCTGGAGATATGTTGAGATTCCTGAGACTAATAATAAAAACTAAAATTTATTATTGTTTGAGCACCTCATTTTCCTCTCAAGCTAAGTGACACCAACTGCAATCTCCTTCTTTATATTCTGTTCTCCTTATGGGGGAATTTATTTTCAGGCATAGATTTTTGTGATCTGATTGAATTTTTTTTTCTGGTTACTTGCTATGTTTTATGCATCAAATTGCCTATTAAATGTGTATTTTGTTTCAATTTTAGCTTCATTTATCTTTGTTTTATTCGAAAGACAGAGGTACCTGGAGAGAGATCTTCCAAGTGGTGGTTTACTCCCCAGATGACTGCAAAAGCCAGGACGGGGCCAGGCTGAAGCCTGGTGCCAGGGGCTGCACCCAGGTCTCCCATGTAGGCAGCAGGGGCCCAGCCTCCTGAAGCAGCACCTGCTGCTCCCCAGGGTGCACATTGACAGGAAGCTGGATCGGCAGCTGAGGAGCCAGGATTAGCCAGCCCTCTGATATGGAGCATACCTGACACAGCAACGTCACCCTTGTGCCAAATGCCCACACAATATCTATTTTACCACATAAATTGTATATTAAGTAGTAATTCACAGTTACAGCTATTAAAGTTGGATGTATGAAGAGTCTTCAGGACGTTCATGAGAAGCAAACATTATGAAATGACTGTGCTCTGAGCCCAGTGTGAAAGACTAAAGGCTAAAGTCCTTGCTTTCCATCCGCCAGGATCCCATATGGGTGCTGGTTCATATCCTGGTTGCCCCACTTCCCATCCAGCTCCCTGCTTGTGGCCTGGGAAAGCAGTCGAGAACAGCCCAAAGCCTTGGGACCCTGCACCAATGTGGGAGACCCAGAAGAAGCTCCTGGTTCCTGGCTTCGGATATGCTCAGCTCCAGCCATTATGGCCACTTGGGGAGTGAATCAGCCAACAGCAGATCTTTCCTCCCTGTCTCTCCTTCTCTCTGTATATCTGACTTTCCAATAAAAATAAATGTGAAATTACTGTGCTGCTGCTGATGTTGTGGTATAGTAGGCTGAGCCACTGCTTGCACCCCTGACTTCCCGAATCAAAGCACCGGCTTACTGGCTTGTGTCATAGATGCCTCTCGTGCACAGGCTGTTGCGGAGCTGAGGTGAGCTGTCAGGACTGCAAGCCACAAGGCACTCTGCTGAAGCCGGGCTCTCCAGCACCAGCCTCAGCATCTCAGCGGGACGTCCTGCGGCGTAGCTTTGTTGAACACCGTTTTTACAGAGAGCTTACTCATTGGTTCTGCAAATATTTAATAATCTCTCCATCAGCAGGAGCTCTTCCATCCCAAGTCACAGCAAAAGCTACAAGGGTCGATGGAAATTTCAACACGGACTGGATACATGATGATAAGGGGGGAAATGCTGAATTTTATTTTGGGGTGTGGGAGTGGAAATTCCTGATTGGCTCTGAGGACTGAGCCGGCAGTTCCTCAGCCCTCCAGGAAGGGACAGTGCATGGTAGTGGTAGTGTTGGGGCAGGGAGCTGGGGAGGGACAAGGGCAACAAGCCTGCTGTTGTAGGTGTCAGGTGCTAGGGCCGTCCTCCACTGCTTTCCCAGGCCACAAGCAGGGAGCTGGATGGGAAGTGGAGCTGCTGGGATTAGAACCGGCACCCATATGGGATCCCGGGGCGTTCAAGGCGAGGACTTTAGCCGCTAGGCCCAGGTTCCATGCTAGGAACACGCAATTCCACAGGGCACCTTTCTGACTCCAAATTTTCTCTCCACTTGTCACATGCTTCTGTGAGAAGCAGCTGAAGAGAGGCTGGTACACAATTGTCCTCTGAAGCCAGCTCCGTGGGTCCAGCTCTTCCAGACACAAATGCCCTTGAGGTGCCTGCAGCCGTGGGCACAGCCCCTGTGCAGCGCTGCCCTAGGGACTGCAACCCTGTATGTGTTCTCCTGGGTTGGCGCAGCACTGCTTTGAGGACCTCAGACACCAGGCCTCCTTTGCCTTTGCAGCAGCTCCTGTGCTTGGGGCTGATCAACTCTTCTGTTTTCCAGATGAGGAAACCATCAAAATGCACAGTGAGTACTGTTCTGGTTCCCATGCGCCCTGGGACCTGCCACGTGCTCACCTGGGTCTTCACGTCCAGTCTCTTTGAGAAGCCCATTGATCAGGCACAAGAGAATCCCGATGGAAAGCCTTGGTAGCTTCTCTTGGTGCTTTCTGACAACGCTGAGAAGGGCAGAAGCCTCCGGGATCCCACGCCGACCGACGCATCATGGGCCACTGGGCGGCTTGCTGCCTTCTCCAGCTTCCCTTCCCAGATACCAGGTGGAGAGCCTGAAGCCATGATCCTCACCTGGGTCTCCCCTGTGCGTGCAGGAGCCCAAAGATCGGAGTAACCATCTGCCGCTTCCCCAGGCCGTAAGCAGGGAACTGGATTGCAGAGTAGCCAGGACACAGATGTCTCTCTGGTGCCACAGGCAGATTAGCGTGCTAGCCACTGTGGCCACCCTGCCAATCATGTTTTTATTTTAGTTTTTAAAGATTTATTTATTTCTGTTGGAAAGGTATATAAACAGAGGAGAAAGATCTTCTGTCCAATGATTCACTCCCCAAGTGGCCACAACAGCCGGAGCTGAGCCCATCTGAAACCAGGAGCCAGGAGCCTCCTCCGGGTCTCCCACGTGGGTGTAGGGTCCCAAGGCTTTGGGCCGTCCTTGATTGCTTTCCCAGGCCACAGGCAGGGAGCTGGATGGGAAGTGGGGCCGCTGGGATATGAGTGGGTGCCTTTATGGGATCCAGGCGCATGCAAAGCGAGGACTTTAGCCGCTAGGCTACTGTGCCAAGCACCGTATTTTTAAATATAGCAAACACATAGCGTTATGTAGGAAACCAAAAAGTACTGAATGATTGGGAGGAACAAAGAGGCGACCCACTATGCGCGCTTTTGCGTGCACTGGTTAAACAGAGGGTTCCGGTAGCAATGTAGTGGCCATTGTTATTCTGAACTACAGGAGAGGGTAAGCGATTCTTTGCAGCCTGCAGCAGCTGTACTGTACTAGAAGATGGAAAGTCTTCACAAACGTATACTATGAAAAATGAAAATTTATGTTATGAAAAAATACACGAAATTTCAAAATGCTTCATCTCCTAAACTTGGATTCCATTTTCTGTGAAATCTCCAGTGGCTACTGGATTTCAGATCAGATCTGCTTTGCCAGGTGCGGGGTCGGTGGGAGCAGCGCCAGCGCAGCAGGACGCTTGCCCCAGGGAAGCCAGCCCTGCGCGCCTCGCCTGGTCCGGTCCCCAGGGTCGCCCTTCTCTCCTGCCGGCAGCGGGGTCTGCACACTCCACGCCCCAGGCCCCCGTGCCTCTCGCAAGCCTTGACCAGTATGGGGTGCGACTGCTTGGCAGGGGCCGGGGTGCAGTGCGAGCTCCTGCCGGGCTGCTTGTCCACCGGGCACTGACTGACTGAGGTCGAAGGGTGTGTGAGATTTTCTTATAACTGAAGACACAATTGTACCACCAGCTGGGGAACACACACTTAGGGAAAGGGTGAGCAAAAAACAACTCACAGCTTCTCACGACCGCGGCAGGACTCGAACCTGCAATCTTCTGATCCGAAGTCAGACGCCTTATCCATTAGGCCACGCGGCCAGCCAGCAGCCCTTCTCTATTGAGCGACCTAAAACGTTATTATTACAGTCTAGCCGCTGGTTCGGGAGCAGCCCACCGGCTTTTTCAGAGGGGGAGGTTGGCCCTTGGTTTTTCCGTTTTTGTAGCGAGAGCCCACTCAGGATTCCCTCTGCTCCCCCCGCGGATGGGCCGTTCCATTAGTGGCTCTCCCATTGGTTGCGCGGGCAGTATCTGCCCGCCTCTTGGGTGGCCGCGGGAACCAATCGGGAGCAGACGGGAAGTTGCGGCTGCCGGCGAGGCTGCACGGTGGAGGTGTCCGGGCGCCCGGGGCTGCGCAGGCCGCGCGGGGAGACGCCGCGTCCTCGGCCGGGCTCGGGCTCCGTCGGCCGGGAAGCAGCGAGGTCTCCGCCGGTTCGCGACGGGGGCCGGGCCGCGGAGGGGCGCGGCGGCCTCTGCGCCCGGGGAGCCGCGCCCGGAGCGGGGCAGCCCGCAGACACCCGGACCGCGGCCGGGTCGTGGCTGAAGGAGGCCCCGGGGGCGGTGGCCCGATTGGCGGGTTCGAATCCAGGCGCTGGTGCTTTGGGAGGTGCGCTCTGCCCTCGGGCCGTGGTGGTCGGATACATTTGGGGAGCACCTGCCGAAGGCGGCGTACACGCGACTTCTGCGCTCGGGATCGCTCACAGTGGTCCGGTGTCACTGGACAGCTCTGTGACCCCATTTTTCAGAGCAGGAAACCGGGGCTGAAGGAGCTTACCCAAGGTCACAGCTCGTGAGCGCCAGAGGCAGAGGCCAAGGCCGCGCTGCCCTCCTCCAGCATCTGTGCTCCTGACTTTTGCAGCCTCCCCCAAGCCCCCGGTGAACTTGTGTGGCCCCGGCGTCTTCAGGAGCGTATTGATATTTCCCGGGGTGGGGAGAGGCGTAACAGAATTCACACCAAAGGTGCTGCCCCACGAGTGAAGGGCTGTCAAGACCATATGTGATCCATAGGCGTGCATACCTGCTCTAAATGCCGTCTGTTTCCTCTAGGGTTTGGATTGCGGGCAGCATGGTTGGACTGGTTGCACTGACAGGAACCCAGAGACTGAATGTGTCTCTCTGTGAAGCTCCCAGACAGTGAGAGCAGCCAAGCTGGAGCCCAAAGTCAGGGGTTCTGAATCCCAGCTGCGGCCTCCCTGCACCGACCATGAGTCTGAGCCGCTTGCTTTGGAGGAAGGTGGCCATGGCCACCACCGGCAGGCCAGGCCCGGTTCCAGCTCCGGGACGCTGGGTCTCCAGCTCTGTCCACATCCCCGACCCTGTCCCCAACGAAGGGGAACCGCCTTCGCCGCAAGTGCCATCCTCGGAGGGCGGGCAGCTGCGGTACAATCCCTTGCACATCCAGATGCTGTCAAGGGGGCTGCACGAGCAGATCTTCGGACCCGGAGCGGAGGGACCCGGAGCGGAGGGACCCGACGAGGACGCGGTGCGCCGCAGCATCGAGCACCTGGAGCAGCACGGGCTCTGGGGGCAGCCGGCCACGCCCTTGCCAGATGTGGAGCTGCGCCTCCCGCGCCTCTACGGGGGCGACCTGGACCAGCACTTCCGCCTCCTGGCCCAGAAGCAGAGCCTGCCCTACCTGGAGGCGGCCAACCTATTGCTGCAGGCGCAGTTGCCCCCGCAGCCCCAGAGCTGGGCCTGGGCGGAGGGCTGGACCCGCTACGGCCCAGAGGGGGAGGCCGTCCCCGTGGCCGTCCCCGAGGAGCGGGCCCTGGTGTTCGACGTGGAGGTCTGCTTGGCAGAGGGAACTTGCCCCACGTTGGCGGTGGCCATATCCCCCTCGGCCTGGTAAGTAGGGGCGGGGAGGGGGGAGTGACCATTCAGTGGGGCTCACCTGGGCCCTCTGGTGTTGTCATGCGCTGGAACAGGCTCGCCCCTGCAAACGGGGACGGGTCAACAGACTCCCCCTGGCAGCCGGGAGCTGGTGAGAAAGGCCTTGCAGGGCACGCTGTGCTGTGCTGAGACCAACGGGGCCAGTGGAGGCGGGCTTGGGTTTCTTTATTCCTCTTGCAAGCTGCATCTTTGTAAAGAAAGCTGCGAAATGTTAAATGTGCAGTTGAACATGGTGCAAGCATGGCTAAATAGATCCGGTAGGCATTGGTGGCTGAAGCAGAGCAGTCTCAGGAGGCCGCGCGCTGATGCAGGTCCAGGTCCCTTGCAGCACAGGGGGACACCGGTCATTGTTCCAAAAAGTCACAGACTTTGGACCAGGCTGCGAGAAAGCCCAGGGAGCCAGGGCTGAGAAGGAGTTGGTTTTCCGTCTGCTACAAGTTGTTGGCCAATTTGCTTTTTCTCCTCCATCCTTTCACTCTGCCTTCTGAACTCGCCGTTCTCTTCCTCTCCGTCCCATTCTGCCCTCATGCTCATTCCGTTCCTGGCCGGTGGTACTGGGGACGTCACTTACTAAGTCAAGTGGTACCAGTGAGCTAACGCCTGGGCTGCTGCTGGCCCCTGGGGGTCGGATGGGTAGGTGGCTGGGACAGCACATGGTGCCCTGAGAGCAGTGAGTGCCTTGCAGCCTGGCATGCTCCACCACATGGCCGCACTCCTCAGGGCCGCTGTTCCCTTCTGGGAGGCGGGAGGAGCCTTGGGCAGCCGGCGCTGACCATCCACAGGTACGGTCGTCACCCAGGCTGCTCCGTGCTTTGGTTCAGAGTCACAGGAGAGTGGGGAGCAGTGGCCTGGGTCCTGCCCCTCTGGAATTTTTCTGCGGTGTTTGCATTTTATCATCCTCATTTGAAAATCAGGAATACTGTCAGCGTGCCTTCCTACACAGCTGCATCCGTGCATCTGGACCACAACTGTGGCTTCTTCTTGTCGCTAAGTTCCCTGTCATTTGCTGTCATCTTGGATATTTAGCATCATTAGCCTTTTCTTAGCTTCTTTTTTTTTTTTTTTAATGATTTATTTTTATTGGAAAGGCAGATACACAGAGGAGGAGAGACAGAGAGGAAGATCTTCCGTCCAGTGATTTGCTCTCCAAGTGGCTGCAATGGCTGGAGCTGAGCCAATCCGAAGCCAGGAGCTCTTCAGGTCTCCCACGTGGATGCAGGGTCCCAAGGCTTTGGGCAGTCCTCCACTGCTTTCCCAGGCCACAAGCAGGGAGCTGGATGGGAAGTGGAGCCACTGGGATTAAAACTAGTGCCCGTATGGCATCCTGGCTCATGCAAGGCGAGGGCTTCAGCTGGGCTATCGTGCCGTGCCCTTAACTTCTTCTACTTTTTTTTTTTTTAAAGATTTATTTATTTATTTATTTGAAAGGGATAATGACAGAGAGGGATGGATGAAGAGATTTTTTTTCATCTGTTGGTTCACTCTCCAAATTACTGCATCCACCAGGCTAAAGCCAGGAGCCAGGCACTCTATCCTGGTCTCCCATGTGGAGCGCCTGGACCGTCATCCTCTGCTCTCCCACGTACATTTGCTGAGAGCTCCACTGGAAGTGGAGCAGCCAGGACTTGATACAGGATGTCGGTGTCACAGTGGTAGCTTAACCCACTGTGTCACAGGACTAACTCCTGTGTGGTTTCTAAGGGCTTTGACGTGGTGAGCACCACGGCAAACATATTCACTTTGGCTTTTCCCAGCATTTGCAGTGTGAGGTAGATCATTTGCCAGCTTGAAAGCTAAGATCCTCTTCTTTTCTCTCCCCTCTGGCTCCTTGTGGAAACTGGGTTTATATGTGTTGAAGGCCCGTCCTCCCGTCTGTGAGGGCCGCAGTTTGCCCACACCCGGGGCTTTGGCATCAGCCATCGCTCGCTCTGATGCCTTGGCCCTCTGGAAGTCTGTGGGCGGCCACAGGTGTTTGCTCCTCCACGCCTGGCCTTGTGGATCTCGCGTGAACAGCAGCCTTCTCCTGAGTCGGTGTCAGCCCCCAGCCGACAGTGCCCGCTTCTCCTTGACGCCAGCATACATGCTGTCATCCTGGCACTTGCCCTCCCTGCTCTCTCATTTAGGATGGTCACACTGGTGTGTGATTTGCTCCGAACCTTTCCCACCATGAGATGACTCCTCCGTGTGTGTGTGTGTGTGTGTGTGTAGCATTTGCCGTCTCCTTTGGGTTCCCTTGTCATCCTGTGTTCCTCCATTAGCTCGTGGGCACTGGCTGTTTGCACTTACAGACATGAAGAGTAACCGTGTTCCTAGAAGCCCCCCAGAGCCCCAGGTGTGCACTCTGGCCGTTCCACTTGACAAACACTGTACTGTCCTACACTAAGCTGCTTCCATGTGGCTCCTGATACTGCAGCACGGAGCGCCAGTGTTACCTGTGACAGTGCAAAAACTTCTGTATCTCCCTTCACCTGGCACACACATGCCCCAGCTGCCGTGTGGCCCTGAGGGTGAGGGTCACCCTGGTAGTGTGGGACTCGGTGGGTGCTGGGGAACAGAGTTGAGTGCCTCCGGGGTGAACCCGCCTATCTCCTGCCTCCCACAGGTATTCCTGGTGCAGCCGGCGGCTGGTGGAAGAGCGTTACTCTTGGACCAGCCAGCTGTCGCCGGCTGACCTCATCCCCCTGGAGGTCCCTGCCAGTGCTGGTGGCCCCACCCAGCGGGATTGGCAGGAGCAGTTGGTGGTGGGGCACAATGTCTCCTTCGACAGAGCCCACATCAGGGAGCAGTACCTAATTCAGGTAAGGCTCCTGGGGCAGACTGCAGGTGGCGGGGACTGGGAGCCCTGGTGGCAGTGCTTGGGGAAGTTGTCACCCTCTGGGCCCCAGTAGGTTCTCCTGTGACCCAGCCCCGCCTGTGGTCTCCGTACCCAGGATCACACTTCCCGGGCCAAGGCAGCAGCAAAGCCTGAGATGCCCCATCTCCACGTGCTCTTTGGAGGCTCTGGCCACAGCCTGAGCTCACGTCCTGCCTCAGCCACCAGCGAGCTGTGTGAGCTCCTCAGTATCTCTAAGCTCCAGTTTCTTTCACTGTAAGGAGAGCAGGTGCTAGCTTACGGGATTAACGGAGGAGGTGTGGACAACACCTGTGAAGTCTGTCAGAACCAGGCCTGGCATGTAGCAATGAGAAGTGCTGCTTTGTGGTGCCTTTCCAGCAGCCCTGGGGTGGGCGACAGTGGCCTGCGTGTGTAGGACTGTGCTGGGCTCAGGCAGCTTTGCAGACTGCCTCGGGCTGGGCTTGACACCAGCACGCCAGTGGCAGGCTGGCCCCTCAGTGGCATCCCACCCCCAGGGCTCCCACATGCGCTTCCTGGACACCATGAGCATGCACATGGCCATCTCGGGCCTGAGCAGCTTCCAGCGCACTCTGTGGATGGCGGCCAAGCAGGGCAGGCACAAGGCCCAGCTCTCCGCACAGAGAGCTCAGAAGTCCCAGCGGAAAGCCAGCGGCCCAGTGGTGAGCACAGGCTTCATGTGGGCAGGAGCTGGGTGCCTGGGACCCCCTCCTCGCAACAACAGTCAGCCTCTTGGGCATGAGGCCAGGCTGACCTGCTGTGCCCCTTGCCCTGGTCCCCTAGATTTCGTCCTGGGACTGGGTGGAAATGAGCAGCGCCAACAATCTGGCCGACGTGCACAGCCTGTACGTGGGGGGGCCTCCCTTAGAGAAGGAGCCTCGGGAACTGTTTGTTAAGGGGAGCATGAAGGATATCCGGGAGAACTTCCAGGTGAGGTCCTGGCTCGGGGCTGAACACGGGACTGCGGCTGCGGGCTTGCCCTGAGACCTAATGCTGGTTGTGGGTCGACTGTGCACTCCGTGTCTTCCCTGTTGCTTGTGCAGGCCCTGATGCAGTACTGTGCCCAGGATGTGTGGGCCACTCACGAGGTTTTCCAGCAGCAGCTTCCCCTCTTCTTGGAGAGGTGAGGGGTAACTGGGTGGGCCAGCGGGTCCTGGTCCCTGAGGGGATCAGGTGGTGCTGGTTCTCTCTCAGGCTTGGGACATTAGCTCATGGGCTGAAGGAACGGAGCCCATCTCTGTCCATGGGCCATTTTGTCCCAGGATTGTGGCTTTGTGCATGGACCCTGGAGGGGAAGGCTGGGGACCAGACCAGTGCCTTTGCTGCACCCACGTGCTGCCCAGAGGGTGTCACAGATGCCTTGCCTGTGGCCACCCGTTAGGTGTCAGCCAGATCTTGTTCGGATCTGGAGTGCCCTGTCCTATTTCTCTGACCTTGTGCAAGTTTCTGGGTTTTTCTTCCTCAGTGCTTGTCCGAGAGGCGCACAGATGTGCTTGGCCAGGTCAGCCGTGGGGTTCTTGGTTGCTTCTGGTGTATACAGTTAGGAGCAGAGGGCCTGGCACAGTTATCACTCAGCAAGTGCCCACCATTTTCATTTTTGGGACCCATAATTCCCATATTGCCTCAGAGAATAGGATGAAGACACTGAGGCACAGACCTCCGGTGCCTTACCCAGGGTGCGGTGGCAATGGAGTTGTCTGACTTTAAAGATGTGCCTGAGGGTGATTAGGGTGAATTTGCCAAACTGGCTCAGGGCCCGGGCCAAAGCCTTGCTTCCTATGGTCAGTTTCTGGTTTCTAATCCCAAGGTGTCCCCATCCAGTGACTCTGGCTGGCATGCTGGAGATGGGTGTTGCCTACCTGCCAGTCAACCACAACTGGGAAAGGTACCTGGCAGAAGCACAGAGCACCTATGATGAGCTGCAGCGCGAGATGAAGAAATCGCTGATGGATCTGGCCAATGATGCCTGCCAGTTGCTCTCAGGAGAGAGGTAACCAGGCTGCAGTGGAGCAGGGGCTGGGCAGGCGGGGGCCAGGCGGCAGGAGTCTGCAGGAGGCCTGGTTCTTGGTTGGCCTCAGCCCTGCACTGGTGACCCTGCTCTGCAGGTACAAGGATGACCCCTGGCTCTGGGACCTGGAGTGGGAGCTGCAGGAATTCAAGCAGAAGAAGGCAAAGAAGGGGAAGAAGAATGAGTTGGTCTCAGCCAGCAAGTCGCCCACCGCGGGGGCTGGTGCCCCTGAGAATCCCATGGATCAGGAAGGTGGGAACATGGGTGGGAGGTTGGGTGAGGTAGGGTGGGCCCTGGGAAAATGCCAGGAACCAGAGGCACTTGGGCAGGGGTTGCCCTGGCCTTCTGGAGTTGTGGAGCCTGGAGATGTCTTGTCTGGGAGGATCTGGTCCCAGATGTCCCCTTGCCATCCTGCACAGACCCTGGCCCACCCACTGAGGAGGAGGAGTGTCAGCGAGATGTCATGGCCCGTGCCTGCTTGCAGCAACTTAAGGACACCACAGAGTCCCTGCCCAAGCGGCCCCAGCACCTTCCTGGCCACCCAGGGTGAGTCCTCCACTCCAGCGTCATCCTCAAGACACCTGGTCTGCACTTGAACATAGAGACAGGGTGCATGTGCACCTTGCAGCCTGCCACCATCCTCTCCATCTTCCTGTCCTGCCCTTCCTTCACTGATCCACGGCATGGTGCTTGCATGGTGTGTTGTGCACCTACTGTGTGCTGCTGCATGGCAGGTCCTAGGGGGCAGAGAGAAGCGTTTCTTTCCTGGGAGACTATGGCGTGTGGACCAACCAGTGCAGTTGGTGTCCACTGTCCATGATGGGACAGTGAGCAGCTAGCGGGCAGCACTGATTCCCGCTGAGCCTTCATTTGAGCCTCAGAGAGTAGAAGTGATGGGGCAGGTGCAGCCAGGGTGAGCAGGGTGCTGACTCTGTACACATGTGCCCCTCACCCCACACTGCTGGTCCTGGCCCTGGTGAGCAGCTGCTGAGAGGCGCCGCTCAGGGAGCTGGTGCGTCTCCAGACAATGGCAGGCCTGCGGTGGAGGTGCAGCTGTGCCTTCTGCCTGGTTTCACACAGGACTTGGGAAGGAACCCATCCTTGCTGGGCATGGATGGGGTCCTGGCTTCTGACTAATCAAGTGGTATGAACATATGGTCTTTCCTTTCGAAATATTCTTATTTATTCCAGGAAAGTCCATTCCTGATCAAAGCATTCCAGGAGAGGGGGCAGTGACTGTAGGCTGAGGTTGTCAGGAAGTCCTGGGCCTTTGGAGAGTGGGTGGGTACATCATGGGAAAGACCCTGCTGCATCTCCAATCCCCCGTCTGTGACTGCTGTCTTTGGCCGTGGTGTAGGTGGTACCGGAAGCTTTGTCCTCGGCTAGATGACCCTGCCTGGACCCCAGGCCCCAGCCTCCTCAGCCTGCAGATGAGGATCACACCTAAACTCATGGCCTTGACCTGGGATGGCTTCCCTCTGCACTACTCAGAGCGACATGGCTGGGGCTACCTGGTGCCTGGGAGGCAGGACAATCTGGCTAAGGAGCCAGCGAGCAGCAGCAGCCAAGAGTTGGAAGGGGTGCCCTGCCCCTATAGGTAAGGCTCTGGGGGAGAGGGACTAGGCTTGGGGCTCCCTTCTCCTCCGGGGAAACTTAAAGTCAGCTCGGGCCAAAGGGAAAAGGTGGAGTCATCCCTCAAGGTTTCCAGGAGCTGGGGCCTCAGCACCTGACGGGGGATTGGGACCTTCAGAGTGGGGAGGTCACTGACACTCCTGGGCCCAGTGGCTTCTCAGAGTGGGCAGACAGGCTCTTGGAAGTAGTGGAAGACATGGGGCTTGCTTGCTACTGGCCAGTTGGGGAACCCTTTTGCAGCTTTCCTCATTGGTTCCCAAGCAACCCTGGGAGACAGCATGGCTCTCCCTGCCCTGTAGCTCATGAGGCCTAGCAAGAGCAGTTGACTTGAGGTCACAAGCCCTGACTGTGGACAAGCACATGCTGGGGACAGCCACAACATTTGATGTGGCTCAGAATTCAGAGGCTGGCTCTGTAGGGAAGGCAGGGTCCAGGTTTGATCCTGCTCCTTGGAGCCCATGGGTAGACAAGGGCAGGAGCCCCCGGGGCTGGGGCCCTGGTCCTGACTCTCCCAGTTTGTTCTCTCAGCACCATTCTTCAGGCTGCAGCTCACTGGGTCGGAGGAGCTGGGACCGGAGGCAGACCAGGCATGCAGCCCGTGCCTGCCACTAGGACACTTCCTTTTCAGTTTGTCACTCCCTAGGTCAAGCCAGGGAAGCGTTGTCCACTTCTGCCTCAGAGTTGGTTCTGGGGATTAAGCAGCAGGAACTGAGACTAAGCCAGAGAGGCCCCGGTGACTCAAGCTGCTGCCGCTGTTCTCTACACAGAGCAATCGAGTCCCTGTACAGGAAACACTGTCTGGAACAGGGGAAGCAGCAGCCCCAGGAGGCAGGCCTGGCCGAGGAGTTCGTGCTCACTGACAGCAGTGCTATGTGGCAGACGGTGAGCGAGGCTCTGAACCTGGGGAAGAGGCAGCCTGCTGGCTGCCTCAAGTACCCTGAGGGTGGCTGGTGGATTTGGAGCACCTCTGGCCCCTTGCCTCATCGTGTTGGTGTCTGGGTCCACCCAGGTGGAAGAACTGGGCTGCTTGGACGTGGAGGCAGAGCCCAGGATGGAGAATGTTGGCACTGTGGTGTCAGGCCAGCCCCCAGCTCTGGTGAGAGGATGCCTGCTTAGTGGTTTCCTGGGTGGGTGCTGCCCTGCAGGAACTCCCTCTTGCCTATGTAGCTTCCTTTCTTCCAGAGTTCTCTAGGTCTTGGGGTGGGGGGGTGGGGTTGAGGTACTACCCTTTCCCTGGGTGGCCCCACGTGATCTGGGGGCCAAGGAGCACACTGGGACCTTGGGCTTTCTGTCAGTTCCGAGCTCATCTGATGAGCTTCAGGCCCGTTTCCCACCCACCTATACCCCATGGCCCTTCCTGAATGCGGGTGTTGGTGCAGAACCTGATGGGGTGTGTGGTTCCCCCAGACTGCTGTTGGTGGCTGCAAAGCCAACCAGCCCACCTGTCACCACGGCAACGGACCTTACAACGACGTGGACATCCCTGGCTGCTGGTTTTTCAAATTGCCTCACAAGGTGTGTGTCCTGGCCTGTCCTGTGCTTGAGGCCTTCCGCAGCCGCCACTGTGATTCCAGCCGGGAAACTGGCCCTGCTGGGGAAATGACAGGAATAGTGGGAGCAAGTGTGATTTTGAGTAACTGCTCTTCTCTGAGCTTTTCTTTTGAAAATTGTGTGGTAAATATCGTAGAGAATCCAGTGACACAGGGCACGTTCAGTGTCCAGCACAGTTGTATACGTAGGTTCAACTAATAGCTGTTATGGGAGGACCAGGTTTGCCCCTGGATGTGGGGATGTAGGGGATGCAGTTGGGAGCCTGCCCTAGACTGATAGAGGTTTGGGGCTGCCAGCACTCTGCCACCTGACTCTGGCCCCTGCTTCCTTTATCTTCTTCAGGATGGTAACAGCTACAATGTGGGCAGCCCTTTTGCCAAGGACTTCCTGCCCAAGATGGAGGACGGCACCCTGCAGGCTGGCCCAGGGGGAGCCAGTGGGCCCCGGGCCCTGGAAATCAACAAGATGATCTCTTTCTGGAGGAATGCCCATAAGCGCATCAGGTAAGGCCTGGGAGAGCAGGTAGGCCTGTCTGTACCCCAGGTGAGGTGTCTGTAGTCCAGATCTGTTCTTCATGTTCACCCTGGGCCTTCTGACTCAATCTGGGTGGCCAGAGGGACAGCTTGGCTGTGGTCCAGAGGTTTCACCAACTTGTCCTGGTGGCAGATACCACAGGCAAATCTTCACCTCCTCAGCTTTGGTCTCCCTGCTTATTTAGTGTGGCACTAGACTTAGGGCTCTGACAGAACTACTTGGTGTAATGGCTGGAGCCTTAAATGTGGCAGACCCTTGGGGACGGCGATGCCATAAAGCCCTGCTGTGGGCTGGGAGCTGGGTCTTGGAGTGTGGGAATGGTCAGCAGATGGGTGTGAAAGACCATATCCAAGGCCGTTAAAGCTACCAGCATACTCGTGTGAGCACAGTGCTGAGATGGGTTAGTGCTCTCTGCTGTAGGTGTGAAAAGGGCAGTGGCTTAGTTCCCAGGAGAGGGACAGAAGCTGCCTCAGCCCAGACAGTTCCCAGCTGGCTTACCCTCCAGGCTGTTCTCAGCCCCAGACCTTGGCCCAGCCATGACCCAGCCTGAGTCCAGTTAGCAGCAAGGAGGTTGAGGTACTGCAGCCTTGAGGGATAGGGCATGGTGGGATGAGGGTGGATTCTTCTCCCCAAGACTTGCTGAGTTTGTCTCCACAGCTCCCAGATGGTGGTGTGGCTGCCCAGGTCAGCTCTGCCCCGTGCTGTGACCAGGTAGGGTCCACTGGACAGCTGTAGGAACAGAATTGAGTGGGGAACACCCTGGGACCAATGCAAGTTATTGAGACTGCTTTCCTTCCACTTCAGGCACCCCAACTATGATGAGGAAGGCCACTACGGGGCCATCCTGCCCCAGGTGGTGACTGCTGGCACCATTACCCGACGGGCTGTGGAGCCCACGTGGCTCACTGCCAGCAACGCCAGGGTAGGTGTCTGGTCTCACCCCTGGTTTTCTGCACCTGGGTATCTAGGAATTGGGCCTTCAAGTGCCTTGTCTTTTGCCAGGCACAGGGACAAGAACTCAAGATCTGAGTCAGGCAGGACTCCGAGTTCAAACCTGGCTAAACTGCTTTTGCAAATGTATTTTTAGAAAAGATTCATTTATTTTTATTAGGAGGAGAGACAGGAAGATCTTCCTTCCGCTGTTTCACTCCCCAAGTGGCCACAGTGGCTGGAGCTGAGAGAATCCAAAGCTGGGAGCCAGGAACTTTTTCTGGGTCTCCCACATGGGTGCAAGGTCACAAGCAGGGCTGCTGGGATTAGAATTGGTGGTCATATGGGATGCCAGCGCTTGCAAGGCAGGGACTGTAGCCAATGGCTATCATGATGGGCCTGCAAATGTATTCTTGGCACCTGTTTCTGGCTGGACAGTAATAGCTTCAGCTGTTGGGGAGTTTGGAATGAGGCTAAGTAGGGAAAAGACAGCTAGGTGGCCTTGTGGCCTCTGATGCCGACAGGTGGGTATATGTTACTGTGAAGTTTGAAGCATTGCTTAGGATGTTCTGTAAAGCTGTCCCCTTAGGAAATGCCCCATTACCCTCTCAACTATGGCTCCAGAAATGGGTGCTTGGAGGGTCGTTTGGATACCTAAACAGGCCTGACCTCATTCTCCCTGCAGCCTGATCGAGTGGGCAGTGAGCTGAAAGCAATGGTGCAGGCTCCGCCTGGCTATGTGCTCGTGGGTGCTGATGTGGACTCCCAGGAGCTGTGGATTGCAGCTGTGCTAGGAGACGCTCACTTCGCTGGCATGCATGGTGAGTCCGCTTTCTCGGGGGCCCTGGGGGCCGGGCAGTGTTCCAGAGCTTCTTGTGTCCTGTTGTGTTCTCCAGGCTGCACAGCCTTTGGCTGGATGACACTGCAGGGCAGGAAGAGCAGGGGCAGTGATCTTCACAGTAAGACAGCCACCACTGTGGGCATCAGCCGCGAGCACGCCAAAGTCTTCAACTATGGCCGCATCTATGGGGCTGGGCAGCCTTTTGCTGAGCGCCTGCTGATGCAGTTCAACCACCGGCTTACACGGCAGGAGGCAGCCGAGAAGGCCCAGCAGATGTATGCGGTCACCAAGGGCCTCCGCCGGTAAAGTTCCTTTCCCAGCCATGTTAATACTCAGCCTTCAGGCCTGCCACCATGCTCTTTACTGCTGATCCTGCTACCTTCCCCTTACCTCAGCTCTCTGTGTCCTTGAAGTCCTGAAGCTTGCTTTATAGTTAGCCTTCCTCGTTAGGATAAAGCTTACTTCACTAACAGTCACACGGAGGTCGCAACCCCAGTGCCTGCAGGGAATGAGAGCAAGTGGAGTGTGCAAGTGGGTAGCACAGTTGATGATGGGAACGCAGGGAGACTGACGTGTAGGCCGCTTTTGATAGAGGCTTTTAGTTGACCAGCCCTGCGAGCATCATCAAGTTTGCTTGCTGATAATACTATTAACTGTGCTCTAGGCCCTAGCACTTTAGTGAATCACGAGGGGGCAAGGGTACACTTACAGCTTCCTTAGGCATAATATACAGAACAAACTACTTTAGCCAACTCATTGTGGAAACCTACCTCCTCATGAAATAAGTGAAAAGTATCATGGTGCGGAAAAGGGGTGCTGAGCACCACCCAGAGTGGATGGTGGTGGTGAGGCTGCTACTGTGCTGTGTGCTGTGCAGAAAGGACAGTGATGAGAAAGGAGACGGGGCTAGAGGCCCAGACAGTGAGGGAGGTCCCATTACTTCTTCAAGGAGGCGGGTGACATGGCCCTGGAGTCTCTGGGTGATAGCCTGGTGGTATCAGGGAGTCCAAGCAGTGGACCTGGGTAGTGAAGCCAGGCATGGCAGTGTGTTTTCCCATTTTCTGTTTCTCCAAGTCTTTCTTGTCCACCCTCCAAATTTGGAATGACAAACCCTGTTGAATGAGGTACCTGTAGGTCAATGAGCAGCTCAGTGTCCCAGGCATTAAGACAGTAAGAGCAGTGATGGCTCTTGTGTTGGTCTCTGTCCTCCTGGGCTACCAGGCTGGAACTCAGCTTTTGTGGCCCAATTCCTGGAATCCTGTTAGGGTTGCACTGCTTCCAAGTTGCATGACTCCAATGAGTCACTTAGCTTCTTGCACCTTTGATCTCTGAACTGAAGCCTGCAGTTTGGACAACAGGCTTGACTCCATAGTGGTTTTAGAAAACCAAGATGATCTGTGAACACCCTGGTGCGGAGGCGGCAATCCCACAGGAACAATGGGGATACTACTCCTTCAGGTACCGGCTGTCAGATGAGGGCGAGTGGCTGGTGAGGCAGTTGGATCTGTCTGTGGACAAGACTGAAGATGGCTGGGTTTCCCTGCAGGATCTGCGCAAGATCCAGAGAGAAGCTTCGAAGAAGTGAGAACCTTCCGGATCTTTTTTGGGGGGGGGGCGCGCGGGTCGGGGATCCTTTGATTTTTAGCTGAGCTGCTCAAAGATAAAATTTGCCCTCTCTTTCCTGGTCCCTCAGGTCACACAGGAAAAAGTGGGATGTGGTTGCTGAACGAGCATGGATGGGGGGTACAGAATCAGAAATGTTCAATAAGCTGGAGAGCATTGCCATGTCTAAGACACCACGTACCCCGGTGCTAGGCTGCCGCATCAGCCGAGCCCTGGAGCCCTCAGCTGTCCAGGGGGAGGTACCTTGTTACCCTTGAACATGGGGAGGAGGGTGCACGGCCAACACGCCTCACCAGTGTATTAGTGACGTGAGGGCCTCCAGCAGTTTGACTTCCGCCCCAGAGCTGAGTGAGGGCTGTGCAGATGAGCCCCTCACCTGTGCCCACCTCTATCCCCTAGTTTATGACCAGTCGTGTGAACTGGGTGGTACAGAGCTCTGCTGTGGATTACTTGCACCTCATGCTTGTGGCCATGCGGTGGCTGTTTGAAGAGTTTGCTATTGATGGACGCTTCTGCATCAGCATCCATGACGAGGTTCGCTACCTGGTGAGGGAAGAGGACCGCTATCGCGCTGCCCTGGCCCTGCAGATCACCAACCTCCTGACCAGGTACAACCCCGCCTCCCCGGCTCCTGCGTAGGGCTTTGGGTGGGAACTCTGGACCTGGCTGGGCAGTTTTTATCTCAGAAATGACTTTGCTTTTATCTCTAATTTTAAAAATGTATGAAAGTCATAACAAAATTGGCAGGAGTTGTTAAGAGTAGGAACATCTCATTCTGTTTTCAAAATCAAAGGTCAGAAAACATCAATACAAAGAAAATTGAGGTTTTTTTCTCTTTCACCCCAAAATATTTTCTTAGCTGCCAAATTTTCTTCTGTTCACAGAAAGTACTGTTAATAGGGAAGCCCAAGTCTAACTTAAAAATATATATTTTATGTATGGAGGTGTAATTTCTTACAGTAAGATTCTTACCTTATGTGGATGATTAAATGTAGTACCAAGTTCAGTGTTGATCTGCTACCCAAAACCAGTTTGGGAATCATGAACTATCCTGATTAGTGGGTAGATAATGAATGCTTATGAAATTTAGCATTGTCACCACTGTCCTCTTGGTCCAAGGGGTTAAGCTCAACAAAACTAACGTCCATTCCTCAAACTCTAGCTCAGTGGTTGGAAGTAATTTTAAAAATATGTATCAATAAAGTGTGCCAAACTGGAATAAAATGTGTTCCTAGTTGCATTTCAGTGGAGGATTGCTTGGTTAGGCCCTGCACTAACATGTGCTCCTTCCCGAAGCGATGAGCTGTGAGCACAGCATGGGTCCCTCTGCTGAAAGGAGCCTGGGTTTCTTTCAGGTGCATGTTTGCCTACAAGCTGGGTTTGCGTGACTTGCCCCAGTCAGTGGCCTTTTTCAGTGCTGTTGATATTGATCGGTGCCTCAGGAAGGAAGTGACCATGGATTGTAAAACCCCTTCCAACCCCACTGGGATGGAAAGAAGATACGGGATTCCCCAGGGTGAGCCATACCCCTTTGTCTTTGATACACACATGACGTGAGGGAGACACAAAGCAGTCCTGGTCAAGGGAGTACAAACTACACAAGGACATTTCTGCAAAGCTCATCACAGGAAATGAGTGATGTACCCGAGCGTCACACACTCCATCTTTAGCAGCCACACCAGAAATTTTTAAGGTTTATTAAATAAAGTCAAAGTACATTCCCAGGTGAAAAAACACCCATGCTTTAAATGCAAATAAGTAAATAAGAAAGCTTATTTTCTATATAAAATGTAACTAAGGCAAACTTACTTTGTGCTAAGAGAAAATGAACCCTCCTAACATGTAAGGAACTGTTCCCTGAGTTAGTCTCACCCTTTCCACACACCCTTCTGCCACATCTGAGCTCTCAGCTGAAGATCGGGAGCAGGCATCCTAACCAGTTTGCGTGTCTTGCAGGTGAAGCACTGGATATTTACCAGATAATTGAACTCACCAAAGGCTCCTTGGAGAAACGAAGCCAGCCTGGACCCTAACTGCCCGGAGACGCCTCTGAATTTGCTCCTGTGGAGCTTCATAGAGGTGGCGCACATTCCCAAACTCGGGCTTTCAGCTATGCTTTTTACGAAAGGCTTGCCCTACGCCAGGCATTTTCTCACATCAGGACCCATCAAGAAGATTCCTTTAAGTGAAGATGCAGCTGAGTTTAAAACCAAGATGCCAACTTTGGTTTAGGTTGTAGGACAAGTGGCACTGTTGCTTGCTGGGCAAAGAGGAAGCAGGAGCCTCACAGTTCACACTAGTTAACTCGGGAATTTATTTTTTCTGTTTCTTCCTGGGTGGTTCTTTCTTCTGTCCCTCCTGCTCAGATGCAGTGCCCTAGAAAAGGTAGAGAAGTCAGCGCTTACATGATAAATCTGAGGCAGCAGGGATGGTCATTAAAACAAATCAAAACAAAAACCTTACCTTACCATCAAAGCCTGTGTTAGTCATGCTTTCTCCCCATTCCTACTCAGGGGATGTAATTATGTTGGAAAAAGGTAGTGCCGACTCTGTCCCTTGGGACTTTTATCATACTGACAAGAGTCATACATAGCACAGGACGACACTGAAGGAGCCTCGGGCATCAGACTGAGGCCTGACCCTCCTGAACTCCGACCCCAAGTAGGTGAAGGGAGTAGACAGGGCTGGGGCATTAGGCCCTGGAGTGTGTGTCCAGAAACCATAAATCAAAGGTGCCTTATGTAAACTTCCAATTTTGAAACAGGGATAGGCCATCTTTTTGGCTGCTTGTATCTTAGACAAAATGAGAATTTTTATGTGCCAGGAAAAGAAACATTAGGGCTCCGCTTCAAAATGGGAAGACTAGCAGGTCAGGATGAGGCCAGAGGAAAAGGGGGCCGAGAAGCTGGCGTGCACTGAACTGGCAAGGCCTGGCCAAGTCAAGAGGCTCTGCCGCGAATAAGGGCATGGAACAACGGAAAACTGATACCGAGGACCCACACCAGGACTATTATGTCATCACCCTCCACCTGGAAATGTCTGCCCAAAATGTGTGCAGCCTGGACAACTTCATAGAATTCAAAGTTTTCATCTTTGCTTGACCAGCCTTAGCCTTTCCATGTCTGCAGCTGCCTCCGGACAGGCTATCAACAGCCTGCTCAGCAAGTGGCTGGGGCATCCTGCGCTCTGGGCAGCAGGTACTGACCTCTTCGTCTTCGTCCTCCCCATCCTCCCGGAGGACCATGTCCAGGATGTTCCCTTTGATCTTGAAGTCTCGTGAAGTGCTGAGCTTCATGTGCTGCATCAGGTTCACCTGTGACAGGAAAGGAACAGCTCACTCGTGGGTGGTGCTGGGGCACCCCAAGCCATTTTTAGAGTACTCATGACACACTCTTCAGTTCCTATTTAAAGCAGGCACAATCCCAGTCAGCCCCTCTCCCCAAATTTCCTATGTGATATTTAGACTCAGGCCCTTGGATCAGATATAGCCAAGGCAATGGACTGCAGATAGAAATGATGACAGATAATTGTTTACCTTGGATTTCTTAGAAAGCTGGATCAGAAATTTTTCATACTGTTCAATGGCAAAGATGAGATTGGGGATTGGCTTGGTTTCCCGAAGAACTCTGGCCTATGGACAAAGAGAAGACTTCAAAGTTCATATTTGGTAGTTCTTGCAGTTTTTCTCTGAAGCTAGTATAGAACTGCACATGGGTTTGGGAAGAAAATTAGCCTGGGAGCAAATGCCAACTGAAATGAATGAATCTTGGACCCCCTATAGAAATCGAGTTGCTTCTCTGACACTTATTTTCAATTTTTATTTGAAAGGTGAAGACCTTCCATTTGCTGGTTCACTACTCAGATGCCTACAAGAGCCAGTACTGGCCAGTCCAAAGCCGGGAGCTCTGACAGCTCTGAACTCCATCTGGGTCTCCCAAACAAATAGCAGGGACCCAAATACGTGAGCCAGTAACCCCAGACACATCAGGAGGAAGCAGAGGAGCTGGGACTCAAACCTACATTCTGCTATGGAGTGGAGTTTCCCAGTGGCTAACTCCACTAGCTCTAACATCTGCCCACTGATTTATTTTTATTTGAAAGGCAGATGTACAGAGAGGAGATACAAAGGGCAAAGACTGTCTGCTGGTTCACTCCCCAAATGGCTGCAATGGCTATAGCCAAGTGTCTGCAGCCAGCTGATATTCTTAGATTGATTTATTTTTATTTGAAAGGCAGATATACAGAGAAAACAAAGACACAGAGGAAGATACTCCATCTACTGGTTCACCTCCGAGTGGCTGCAATGACCGAGCTGAGCCGATCCGGAGCCAGGTCTCCCACAGGGGTACAGCGACCCAAGGGCTTTGGGCCATCCTCAGCTGCTTTCCCAGACCACAAGCAGGGAGCTGGGTAGGGAGTGGAGCAGCCAGGATTTGAACAGTGCCTATACGGGATCCGGGCGCATGCACAACAAAGACTTTTGCCACTAGGCTACTGTGCCGGGCCCAGGAGCTGATATTCTTAAAATAAATATGCTTTTATATTTTCTTTTTCTGGTCTGCACATTAATTTTCAATTTAAATAACTCAAAATGTGAATTTTTCAAAATGATTCGTGTGTATTTGAAACTCATAAGTGAGGACATTGTTCTCATCTCTTGGAGATAATTCTATGACTGAATATGCACTACATTTTGAATTTGCCAACAATGTGCTGTACAGCCAATTTCCTGCATCCTCACCAATGTATAATTCGGCAGCTTCAATATATTCAGACAGTTATGCGGCCATTAGCACAATCGACTTTACAAGTTTCATCACCCTCAAGGTAAACCTCAGACGCTTTTTAGCTGTCATCCCAGTCTCCCAGTCTCCTTAAGCCAGTCAACTGGAGTCAGTCATGAATACCTTTTTGCCTCAGATTTGCCTTTTCTAGATCTTTCATGTAAGTGGAATTATACAACATGCAGTATTCTTGTAACTGACCTCTGCCACTCAGTGTTTTAAGTTCACCAGTCACCGAGTGCCCATCAGCAGCTTACTTACCATGGCTGTGCTAACAGCGGCGGTTTTCTTTTTCTTCTCCCCTGTAAGTGTTGAGTTATTACTCTTCTTATTCTAAAGAAATAGAAACACATTTTTGTTTTCCAGTCCTGAAGGTTTTTGGTGTTAGTGGTAATTTTCTAGAAGGCTGAAAGATGGGAAAATTTGGGTTATGCTGCATAATCCTGAACTATCAGCTCTTTTTCCTCATCCCCTGCCCTACCCTTCAATTTTTCCCTCTGTTGCTCATGAAAACAGCAGATGAAAACTGTCCTGGGCCAGCCAAGAGACCAGAGAGCAAAAGGAGATTTACAATGCCAGCTGTCAAGGTGTAGGCAGAATGGACACCTTCCTGCTGGGCAGCTGCCCAGGAAGCTACTCCGGGAGCCTGCACACCTCCCACTTCGAGGCCCTCACTGGATGCATATGTACAGTTGATTAGCAGGAACTCTTCCATATGTTTTACATCGTCAGGCAATAAAGAACTCCTGGAGTTAAGGATGGGAGACATGTGAACTAATAAAAAGATTCAAGTAGTGTAGGATTCTGACAAAGAGAATCAAAATATGAGTGAGGAAGGATGGGGGAGGGGGAGGGGACCCAGGTGTGAAGTACACAAAATGTAGGAAGCTCTGACCCAAGAACTTCTAGGAAGGAACCAACAAAACAAGCTTGAAAATGCAGAGAAGCTATTGTGCTGCAGCCTCAGGGTGACGGGAGCCTTGTTCCTTAGGCTAGCTTCTGGAGAAAGAGCAAGATTCTAGAGAGGCTAGTTTAAAGAAACCCACTTTGGGCCCAGGACGGCATGGCAGCTAGGGTGAGGTCTTACTTCTGGAGAAGGAGAGCAGTGACAGACCTCCAAGTATAAGGTGAGCCTCTTCCTAGAGGCCGCAGCCTCTGAAACTCCCTAAATCAACCCTGTTCTTGGCCAATTGCTATTCAACCAGGTAAGATCTTATAAAGACATTCTTCGGGGGCTTGCATTGTAGCATTCCACCTCTGTCCTTACTAACTCTGACTTTTAAATGGGCATTTTTTTTTAAAGTGTGATTCTAGGCAGGATGGTTTTCACTGCTTCCCATCAAGATCTAAGGTGCTAGGTAAGAAAAAGGGGCTTATTGCCCCAGGCTTTTCATTAAATACCTGTCAAAGATGGAAAACATTTGGCCTGCAGACCACCTAACTTGTCAATGAGGCACATTTGGATGGGGTAAAAAAAAAAATGCCCAGGGAATATGCAAAATGGATTTTACGTAATGTGAGGGAAAAAAGCTGTCTGGGAGGTACCTAGTGATTTGTAGAAGAAAACTCTTCAAAATGGGTTCAGAAATTAAAAAAAAATCTAAACTCTAACATTTTGGACTTACACAAGTACCCGGTATGAGTCTAGAGTTGGGGGGATGGCAAACTACAGTTCCCAGGACAAATCAGCCCACTGCCTGTTTGAGAATAAAGTTTCCCTGGAACATAGCCACAGTCATTTATTTGTATGTTGTCTGTGACTACTTCCATGTTACACTGGCAGAATGAAATAGGTGTGGCTGACTGTATGGGAGACAAAGCCTGCAACATTTTCTACTTGGCCTACTGTGGAGACTGACTAGCTGGGGTTAAGCCCAGCCCTGCTTCTTGCTAGCTGTTTGTTCTTGGACACTCCCATGAATTTTCCCCACTACTTAACATGAGAGTAACTACTGATCTCAAAGTCCTGACAGTGAATAAGGTGACACATGAGCAAATTTAACACACCAGACACAAGGTCCAGGGTTCTTCAGAATGTAGTAAATATGGCCAACAGCAATGTTTCCAAAGCCAATATTTATTAATTTTCTATAAAAGAATAATGTTATTATTTTAAGAAATATTCCTGGAAGGGTTTGAGAAATAAGATTGAATGTACTGATGGTCTCTTTAACATCTTTAATATGCTAATGGACACCATGAATGTTTAATGTAAGGAATATTTTGAATATCATTTTTCATAAGCCACCTCCTCCCCTGCCTTAGGTCTTAATCTATTTTATGAATTGTGGCTTTAGAGGCATCATTAAGATTTGGACATGGAGAAATTCAAACCCAAATTTAGGACTGGGGGGGTTATATCCCATTATAGATGACAGATGCGTTTAACAGAAGGGCACCTAAATCAAAATTTCCAAACAGGAAGCTTGAGGAAGCCAGCTCAGGAGCACTGGGCTCAGAAAGCAGCAGCAGCCTGGAGGCGAGCAGGCTTGACCACAGCAGGCTGCAAACCCTGGCCAGGTGAAAGCCAACGATGCTTTCCTGAAGCAGCCCACAAAACCAGTACAAAGGCAAGGTGGCAGCCCCAGTTACCAGTATACTACTGGACTTGAGGTACATCCATACAGAAGAGAAGGCCACTTGGTTACTGAGTCTCAAAGGGAAAGGGTTCCCTTTAAACGAATAAGAATATCAAAGTAATCACAACCCGGTACTTTAATAATTGGCCCTTGAATCTTGGATGAGACTGACACTTAGTGGACCCAATCCCTAGTTTTTCCAGGATCAGTAATAGTGGTAAAATGTTTACTGTATTATCTACGTGGCCTTAGAAGACAGGAGGTGTCCCATCAATCAAGCCAGTCAATAGGAATGATTTTATTTCTGGGAACATTTTTGTTATCATAATAGGGAGAATATTAGTATCTAGTTCAGGTCGGGGAACCTTTTTCTACGAGCCAGATGGTTCACACGTTATGTAAAATTACCAACTTAAAAATGAGCCTGGTACGAATTTATCAAATTTCTAGTTGCCTTGATAGGATCAGACCAAAGATTTCATGGGACTTACAATGGCCCACTTACCAGATACCTCCACTCGTGGTGGATAGAAACCAAGGACATGCTAAATGTCCAAAAATGCATACAACAGGCCAAGGTTTTCCTGACCCAAATGTGTCAATAGTGGTGTGTCTTAAAGAAAAAAAAAATAAAGGAAGTTCTTGTACAGCAAGAATCAAGAATTTGATGGGATTTAGGACCAGGTAACACTTGAAATTTCTCTACACTCTATAAGAGCCCTAGAGGGAGAAGAAAAGGGATCTGGATAAATGATAGAAAAAAGCTCCTTTTCTGGTATCTCAAGTGCTGCTCTCAGCCCTTTCGTGTGTGCTTGCTGTTACATTAATCACATTCCCCAAGTGTGTCTGTCAGTCACCGAAAAATAAGATGTTACTGAATCCCCGCATGCTTATCCCATCACTGCTCCAAACACAAGCCTATCAAGCTCACGCTGCCTTCAGTGTTTCCTTTGAATGAATCAAGAGCTTGCTGCAAAGTCCCTGGACTTCTGTTTCTATAAACAGGCCTCAGCCTCTTGGTAAGCAAGGAATTTGTATACACTAGCTTGCATGACCAAGCAGAACCCATGAAGCAGGAAGTCCTGCCTCTGAATTACCCACCTGTACATAAGAAATGAAAGAATAACACAGCGGCGTCAGATGAGAGCCAGACAGCTTCACCTGCAGCAAAGAAGGAAACCAATGTAACTGTAGCAATAAAAGCTTTCCACATTCCCTAGGAAAAGTTGTATTTAACTCACCAGCTTTTCCATATTTTTCGGAATTCCTCTGGCGCTCCGGCACACCTGGAGATACTAACAGAAGATGCCCAGATTTAGATTATATTATGAAACTTCTGATGACTCTTGTGGAGAGCTCATCACTCTGACAG